ACGGACTGATTGCTTCTGGGCACAGACAGAAGGCTCTTGCCAACGGAACATGAGTGATGGAATGAATGCATCGGAAAACGAGTCTATCGGAATTAAACAGAGACAAAACTGTTCAGCTACTCTCCACACTCCATCTACTCAGTCACTTCCCAACCGTCTGGCAAATAGGACCAAAGATCGTAAATCTCGAGGACCATTGGACTGCGCTCAATTTTCCGACTGAATGACGTGCTCTGGGTCTACGCGCAGGAAGACGTGGCAGTGATTGATCATCATTATATCACACTCACAAGGAAGTGGATACAGGTCACTGTGAATTGCACGTTTTATAACACACGTATGTGGTGGTAGGCAGCTTTGCTGTGGTCCCGTTCAATACCACGCCTAACCTATTGGGGCCTTATGTGGTTCCCCACTCCAAGTCTGGGGCTTAGGTTACCGGTTCCCATCACTGAACAGCAGGTCCTCGTGACTATGGGGTTCCACCCCGTTTGCTGTTCATTACACGAAAGTGCGTAATAAAAAAAACGTAAATAGCCATAGTCCCTTGAAGTTTACACATTTTAGTGGACGGTGGTGACCAAGTGGTTAGGTCACCAAATTGTGACCCCGAATTTGCGGGTTTGAACAGCCCAACCGACGCCCATCTTCACTATTTCTGTATTCCCCAGACAGTCTTTGTATGGTCGAAGCCTCCTTCATGAAAGTTGACCGTACATTTGTATATTCAATAAATTAAAAAAGGAAGTAAAAAGACATTAAAACGTCTGAAAGGGATACGAAATAAAGGAGTGCTTTTTTGGCCGTTATTTGATCCAATATGTTTGTTTCCCAAAGTCCGGGTTTGAATCAGATGTGACATTGGTTCGTAAACAAGTGGATATCAGAGTGTGTGTATAAGGGGAATAGGTTGAAACCTGTTTACGTGAGAGCAAAGACACAAAACTCACCAAAGGTGGACTATCTCGAGTAAGTTGGATAATCAGCGACTGTAACTCTGACTGAATCCGACGAGGATAGACACTCAGACCGAATTCGGTCAAAGCAGTGACAAGTTGCTGCAACAACGGCACCTGAGACTTTTGATTGAACTCAGGGACTGAATTGGGCACGTCTGTTGAACCGCAGCCAAAAAGCCAGTGATTGTTATCGTTGTTGTCCGGGAGGTCTTCGGTTAGACTGTGCTCGGCTACACCCAACAGCAGCCGGCCACAGTGAAGGATGGCGTTCAATAAACATGAATAACACCCACCAACAGGAGGATCTACAGAATTGAGAATAGGAGAGAGAGGTTTTGGGGGATTAAGATATTATGGACAAACTAAATGAATAGTGTAGAACACGAAATGAGGCAATTATCCACGAATATATAAATAACTAGTGGTTTTTAGATGTGCATATATCGGCAAAAAACGGAGAAGCGATATCAATGATAGTTCTAGTCAGGTGATTGGGTCAAGGATGTTCGCCTAGTCTCGTTTAAGCCAAAACTGTGATGATTTGGAGCAAACGCGTGTGAAGGGGAAAAACTAAACGTTTTTGAGTACAGAAGACACGGATTAAATCTGATTGTTCCGCCAAAACTCTTGAATTTAACCCCACTGAAAATGTTTGAGATTTATTACTGAGGCGAATACACATAAGTGGAAATCTTCCGTACGAACCACGAATTACAACTTGGTATCCTCAATAAATAGCAGACATTTAAAAACAAATATTCTTTCAATTATACCTGACCGATGATTCTTAACCATACAGTTCGTAGGATTTCATCACCAGCTGATTTTTTAGTCATTCTACAAGAGGAGGAAGAGGACGGTGAGCTAAAGGTATTTGGTTTTCTTTTTCAGGCACATAGACGGAGAGAAAATCGATATGTCAAGCGATCCGATATGGAAATGGTACACCGAGATTCCTAGGAACCCGGCGTATACGCGTCCGCGAAAAAAATGTGGGGAGGGTCATTGAAATCATGTCTCCCCACCCCCAAAACGAATGTGAAGATTACAAAGCCGAAAGACGTAGTGACTAACGTGATCCATTTGATTTGAACCCTACACGGTACGATACTTTTCACATTTTCTTTCGTAGCTTCTCCGCATCCAAATAGGCTAAACAATAAACATTTTTGTACGGGGCGGGGGCTTTTGTGTGATTGCTGTAATTATACCCGAAAATGGTTGGCGACCTTGATCCAGAAATGCCTGAGGAGCACGAACCACTGTGGCGGAGTGCACGCGCACAGTTTAGATACAAACAACATGGCAGTAACGAAATTGTGGACCGTCAATTTTCTGAGCCCAGACGTACCAAACATCTTATCCAAAGCTTCGTAATCGGGCCACCAACAATGCCCAGAAGAGTCCTTTATTGCTTGGCTGGATTTTTGTTGGGCCATATCAAACTCCATGACCGATTGTCGTGTGGCCCACAGCCGACGTGTAATTGCAGCAGTGTCCAGGCTGATTGCACTGGCCTCAGTCACACATGAGGCCAAGCGTGCCAAAGTCGCGTTCACCGAACCCACGGACGAAGTGGAAGCGGTGAGTGAGGCCAACAGGGCTTTGTCCCTCGAGGTCGATAACCGCTTCGGAGCTACGGTGTCCTCGGGAGCATATTGTGCATTCAATGGCTGCAATTTTACACAATCCGTTCCGAGAGGAGCCATGGCAAGCTCATTCAAGCACTGAACAATGTCCATTTGNGGATTGGTTCGGCCAGATTGAACGCATTGGAGAACAGGACTCGTGACAGGATGACAATTTGTCGGCAGGCGGAATCTCGATCCTCTCGATCGTGTAATGGCTCGACTGCAGCATAGCACGGGCTGGAAATGCAAGAAGTCAAAAAGGCAAAGTTAATCAAGCCACATCTGGTTGACTGTATGCTCGAAACTTGGAAAAAATGAATTATTTTTACCGGGAGGAATGACCATGTGGCGATTCGAACAGGATACAATTTCTTAATCGTTGATCGTGATAAAAAAGATAGCGATGAAGTTAGAAAATCGCAATTTTACGACTGTTGTGGTCATTGATAGTACACCTACATTGGAATGACCATGTGTACTAGAGGTGTACTTGGATCCTTACAATGAGTGATCACTTCAGGATAAAAAATCTAACCAGAATGAAACAATTGAACAGTGCACAAAACTTACCGGGCCACAATGGAGAACTCTATTTTCCCGTAACGAGATGACCCGCAATTGGAACACAGATAGACATCGCCTGCACTCAGATCAATGGATCGGNGATCGGCAACGGAAGCATTCATTCACGTTCGTGTGACACGCCAAACAGGTACTGCCTAACAGATTCGATGCATGACAGCGGGGACAAACACGTTTCGCCTCGGCCCCCGTCGAATGGAACTCGGCATACTCGAAAATCAGTCGAGAGGCTCGAATGGGCAAACCATGACCCACGTTCACACGCTGTACCGAGGAAGGACCACCGATGTGCAAACGTTCCGGGCTGAAACGCACATCTGTCGCGTAGTCTTTGCAACCTAACCACGACGGGACTGGTGAGGGGTGCGCAAAGCACAGACACACCGCGGTCTGATTCGGTGCGAGATGTACAGTGGCTACTTTCTGCCACAGTGCAGGTTCATGAACCAATCGGGAAGTGGAACGCTCTATCAGATCGCTTGTGTAGATGTTCAAGGTGCGGACGTAACGTGGACGCTTGTAGAGGAAGTTAAACTAAAACAAGGTACATGAGAACAGGGTGTTCGTGAGTCATACTGTACGGGGAAAAAAACAAAGCACTTAAAGTACGGTTCAAGGTAAGCTCGAATTTTGAAAAACACAACCACAGATTGTAAAAGAAAACCATCGGGGTCGTAATCGGTCATAATCCTCATGGAGCGAAGCAACGTGACCCCAAACCGGATAATGACAACAGTACCTAGATTAAACTGTAGATCCGTGCCAATTAAAATACCATTAAATAGAGGAGAGTATCGCTTCGGGAGCAGCAAACAAATTTTTCGAGAATGAGGACACAATTACGAAAGAAAAACTGTCAGTGAGAGAAACTACTCGGAAAAATCTGACGGAGCAGATTTGAGTTCTAAATTCCAACCACAATTGTAACAATGAGCGCGTTCTTAAAATGAGAACATACGTCCAACGCATGTCATCTGGATATATATCGCCATACGTGAGGAGACTGTGGATAATAAAAATAGAGAATTAAACTGAACTGCAATCTGCTTTTTCATTTTTAACAACACACTTGCAGTCAAAAAGAAACGAGTATCGCGACAATGGCAAAACTGAGGACAGCAAGAGACACGGTAAAAAAAAGAACGTTATCTGTTGAATGAGTTCAGTGCGGATTTTCGTTTGACCAATCCGAGTGCGAGTAACAAAGGGTAGATAGTAAGGCGGTTCGGCGCACTGACAAGCGGGAGATGGGATGAGTCGGCAATTGGAGCGAGTGAATGAATGAGATCCGGATACAAAGAGGCGGATGTGTATGTATAGGTGGGTGCGACTAGACAAAATTATGTTAGCCAACTTCAAGCTGGTCTCAACCGGTACTGTAGGGAAATGTGTAGTGCCAATCGTTAATCCTGATTTCCCCAGTCTTCAACTGACCACTAGAGTAGGTGCTATTTGCGACAGAGTGTGAATGGAGATGTCACGTGGACGAGATGCACGGACT